GCCTTTCGCGCCTTCCATCGTCGCACGTCGTCGTCATCGTCTCACGCCAACCATTTTCCTCACCTAATTCCAATTAATTTGTTTCTGTCATTTGGAACTGTGAACAAATTATTCAATTTACGTATTCGTTTTCGTTCCATCCGCTTCTCTCTTCTTCTTTTTTATTCTTTTACTCTGACATGATCCCGCATACAGGATTCGATTTCAATTTGCCATTTTGTGCTGCAAGGCATACATCGCATGCACAAAAAGAGTTGAAATAACGACACACCGCGAGAAAAACCAGCGAAAATATCACTAGTAAATTCATGTTTAACAAACACCGTATTTTCTCGTTCACATTTATGATTGTCTTGGATGCCGTTCTTTTTTTCGTCTCTTTCTTTCTGATTTATATGAGCTCGTTTCCCGAAAGCACTTTGCCATCGGCTCTGTTTCGTTTCTCGCACCTATCCAAAAGAGTAGATGAGAAAATATTACTTATTCTTTTTCTTGAACGTGGCACTTTCAATGTAAAAACGTAAAAAAAATTCAAAAAATGAACCATGGCACGGCAAATTCCTTCAACACTTTACTTAACTGCTCTCAGTTGTCGCTCTGCATTGCATGTGGACATGCGCATGTTTTGGCCAAAACAAAACCATTTTACATTCAAGCGCTTTGAGAGATGCAGAAAAAGCACCAATTCGTTGTGTTTTTTTTTTGTTCGTTGTTCCGTTGCACCAACAGCAGCAACAGTAAGAAAATACAAGAAAATGTATTGAAACCAGCTCTTTCTCTGTGTCTCTCTTGCTCTGTTGCTGTTCGGTTAACACTTCGATATTTGAAGTGAATTATGTGCTTGTTGTACATTTGCAAAAGCAACGATATTTGGTCGACGGCATTCCGATGACGATATTCAACAACATTCGTGGTTTTTGTGTGTCTTTTTTTCTACTCTTGCTTGCTCTTTCCAATGTAATTTCTTGTCTTGTCTTGTCTGCAATTCGAATGCGTTGATAACACGTACAAAAGATTCCAATGCAATTTTTTGTTGTTGTTGTTGGTCTTTTTATCGTTCGGTCTTTCTCTTTCTCTTGTTGATGAGAATTTCTGGTGCGCGCATGGCTTTTACGTGCGAATTGTAATCGATACGATACAGCATGAAAAATTATGTATTGCTTATTTATCTTGCAACAAAAAAAGAACCACACACACCTATTTAAATGTGTGAGCGCGCGAGACAAATTGTCTGGCCTGTTCGAGGCGGATTTTATGTGTGTTGACACACAGAGAGTTACGACGATGCGCGTCAACAACAACGAAGACGACATTTTCGCACACATTTCTTTCGAACGCGTAGATTTTATGAGAAAAGATGTCGGTCACAGCATTCGATGTATATATTACACCGTTATGGCTCATATTTTTCCTTATTGGCGAAGAAAAAAAAGAAATTATTCAGGTTGTGTCGAACACTGAGTAAATGGACAAGAAAATCAAATTCAATTGAGTGAATTATGGGTATTACTCTAAACACCATCACCATCTAACATACGACACAGGCACACACACACACTCTGACATGGCTCTTGTTATGCAAACCGCTGTGTAATAAACCAATAAAGCAAAAAAATGTAAATTTCTTGTCGTCGAATTGTGTGTACGCGCCGCGTTGTTTCATTATCCGTTTTTGCGGTCGTGAAATTGTGTCAATTTTATTGGACGCCAACGTTTGCAATAGACATTTTTTGCAAATTAATTGCAATTTTCTGTTCTGTGTTGTTTTCCTTTCAACAAGGAGAAAGAGATAGAAACACAAAATTGACGTCTAATTCTTGCTATTCAACTTATTGTTTGATGTGAAACAAATTTGAAAATTAGTTTAAATATTGTAAAATCGTTGACCTCTCAACCGACCCCAGCAATTGCCAAGTTAATTACTTAATCACAGCCACAAATTCATTTCCATCGTAACTGATTCACGGAACAATTATTCTGGCCGAAACAAAACAAAGCAACAAAAAACGAAGAAAGAAACAGCAACAACACACGGCTAAAATGAATGGTTTCAAACAAATACATTCCGATGCGTGCCACGTTCCAAGCATAAACAAATTAACGTTTCTGAAAACGGAGTGCATTTTAATCGTAATTAGCATACAAATGTGACAATGACAATTGTAAAAAAATGTATGATGAATATGATTTTATTTACATTTTTAGCACCTTTGTTTGAATTTTAGTCGCAATTTATACCGTTCTCTCTCGCTCACATTGCGTCGCAGAGAGTTTATTCATTTCCTAGCTACAGCAATTGCCCCGCAAATGACAAAATAAGCAATTTTAATTAAAGAAATCTCAAGCAAACTACATTGAACATGATAATGCACACACAAATTCAAACAATAGATTTTATAGACGCAAAATTACGTAAAAATTCAAGAAAAAATGCAAAAGCACACACACATGACAAACGAAGAAAAAAAATCCATGTCAACTCGACACAAACGAAAAATGAAAAGAAATCACTAACTTTGAGCGCGATAATCATTTTATCGCATTTGCAATAATTCATTCGCAATTGTTTCATTAAAATTATTAGCTGTGATTTGCATTAAAAAGAGACTCTCGGTGTGACGCAAAACTAGTTAAAAAATATTCCATTAAGCATTTTTCATGTAATTTTGATTTTCTGAAGCGGATTCTTGGTGCTCATCACGATTTGCGAATAAAACAAGTAAATCGAATTTATTTTACATTTTCCGAAAAACCGACACCAAAAGCATACGGTACTCTCTTGCATATGGTAAAATTGGAGCGCAATTAATTTCAAGTCGATTTCAGCCCGAAAACAAAAAGAGCCCACTGCGAATCCAAATTGTTCAAGAATATCAAGAATGTGAATGTTACGAGTCGAATCAGTGAATTTGATTTTGCATGCGCCAATCTTCATTTATGAAAGCGAAGCACTTTTTCCTTCGAGTGTCGTTGTTAATGTTAATTTATTGCAATGATATGTTAAACGAGCAATAAAGGCATGGCCAACGATATTCGTTATCTCTGCCAAGACAATGTATATGCGCGCAGCGATGACTGGGAGAAAAACAAATCGAACAAAGTGTACACGGCAATGTGATGCTTCTCGTAAATTCGTGAATTATATATGGGCACAAAAACAAGAAACGGGAACAAAACGCCTTGTCACGATATCGCACACTCGTTTTCTGTGACTTTTGTTTGCTCGATTGTTCATTTATTATTAGCACTACATCGACAACAAGCAGCTAATTGAGGCTGCCTCAACAATTATTATTATTTTGTGCGATAATTTTTCGCCATTTCAAAATTTTCTGGACTCGCGAAACTTTTTTATTCGTGCTGATTGTGATCGGTTGCGGTTGTTGTTGTTATTGAAATAAACACACTATGGGTGGGAAATAAAACAACAACTACTTTATGGAGTGAAATGAAATATCGACTTTTTAGTGTAGTAATATTGACGAGAGTTTTTTTTATATTTCATGTTCTGTTGCGACTTAGAAATTCGAAATATGTAATAAATCACAATGGAGACAGAGCCGAACTATTAAACATATAATCGTGGTCATCGTAGAGCCATTGTAAAATTAGCATCAAACATGGCAGTTAATTAAATTCAATTTTGCAACAAATAAAATTGGCTTTATTTATAAACATAATACAGCCTCTGAATTGAATTGAGTAACACCTTGTTTTTAAGGCTCTCAATTTCAGCTCTCGTTTATTATGTGCATTATGATTGGTTTTATTAATCTAATCATCTTTCTATATCTGAATTTGACACGTCATAAATTATTCAGAAAAAAAACACACCAAATAGGTGGCCGTGCATATGTGTTTGTGCGCCTTGTTTACTGGTTTTAACCACAGACAACGATTGATTGTGGTTTATTTGTACTTTTTGATTGGATTTTATTCTCGACGCGGATATTTTTTGTAGCGTCATGTTAAACTTTGATCAAATGCAAATGATTATTGCGATTCTTTTTTGCGTAAACAAGCACAATGAGTCTTTGATGTAATCAGTTAAATATGTTTTAATGAAATAAGCACTATTCGGTCGATTTGTTTCCACTTATAAACTCTTCCTCTTTCTCTCCTCCATTCTGTCACAGTTAAATCATTTTCACAGTTCTGGAACTGAACATTCTTAAAAGATTGATTACTTATCGGAACTGTTTAAAAAAAAACAGAAAATATGATTATTTGTCTGAATTTCTGGAATTTCACAAGGCAATCGAGAAAGAAAGAACAACAACTGTTAACCGCACAGATGTGCGCAACAGAATCGCTGTAGATAATTAGATTTTTTGTTGTTGTTCGTATTTGTTCATAATGTAATGTTCAAAACACCTTTTGAGAAATCTTCATTATCTAAAAGTATTATAATCAATAAATAAATGTGCTGCTGCATTTACTCGGCCACATTGCCGTGAAGTAACCGGTTAAGGTCTTTTCTTGGATTAATTTTTTTTTTTGCATCCTTTCATTGTAGCGTGATATGTGTCATCATCATTATCGTACGGCAATAATAATATAGAATTACAAATAGACCGGGCTACGTTGCAATTTTAATCCACTTGCATCGCAATGAGTGCATTGAGTGCATTATGATGCACTGCATTCATAAGAGTATGTGTGTGTATGTGCGCATATCGGCTCTGTCGCCGTACTCTGCAGTTGGCTAATTTTCAAATCAAAATTAAAATGATTCGAAAAGTGAACGGAAGGTCAATATTATTGGTCAACCAAGGCCATGCAAATTTAAAACCGACTTTTATTTCATTCCTCTATGCCTTGCTCATATCGATTAATTTAAATATCAAAATATCGCCATTAATCATTACAATATTTCAAATCATTGTAAACAAATTTACATAAATGTAAATAAAACATGTAAATTATCGTTTTTTTTACTGTTTAATTTGTAATTCGCATTTGATTGTAATTTTTTTTCCTCTCCTTCCGTCTCATTTCAGCCGTTCAAAGAGGTCGAGTACCACCATCGCAACCGACTGGTTTGCCAGGAATGCATGGCCAGTATTCATTAGCAAATGGCGATCCTATGTCTGTCGTTGGATACAACAGTAGTCATCAATATCTCAGTTCCTATATATCGTTGTTATTGCGCGCCGAACCATATCCTGTAAGTATCACATCATCAATATTCATTTGTAATAATTTGATCTAAATGACTCTTTCTGTAGATGTCACTATTTATTATTTGTATTAAATTGTTAAAAGTCATAAGTTAGAAGTCAAATATATATAACAAAAATTAACAAAAAAATATTTTTCTTTCAAAGGTATCACGTTATGGTCAAACGATGCAACCAAATAATATGATGGGCATCGATAATATATGCGAATTGGCCGCTCGTCTTTTGTTTTCTGCCGTTGAATGGGCAAAAAATATACCACTGTTCCCTGATCTACAAGTTACCGATCAAGTGGCGCTATTGCGTCTCGTGTGGTCTGAATTGTTTGTACTGAATGCGTCACAGTGTTCGATGCCATTACATGTGGCACCATTATTGGCTGCAGCCGGTTTGCATGCATCCCCATTAGCAGCTGATCGTGTGGTCGCATTCATGGATCACATTCGAATTTTCCAAGAGCAAGTGGAAAAGCTGAAAGCGTTGCATGTCGACACAGCCGAATACTCATGTCTCAAGGCAATCGTATTGTTCACAACAGGTAAGCTGTTGGATATTCTCTTTACAGATGTGACAGCACTACTAACCAAAATCACAAGCATTCATATGCAATTAACCACCGAAACGGATATCGTACATGCGGTCAAAGACCATTTAAATAATATGTATGTCGATTCGGCAATGATATCCACATCAACAGCGAATGCAATCACATCAACATCATCATCGCATTTATTCAACACCAGTTCATCGTCGTTATTGAACAGTAATAATAATAATAACAGTAGCATTTGCGATCAAAATAATAGCTCATTCTCATCGTCTGGCTATCATACGAATAATACAAGTCTGAATTCATCAAACCATACAAATAAATCGTTTGCATCGCCGAAAAGCAACAATAGCACTGGCAGCATTGGAACGATCAATTCGCCCACCCCATTTATGCCAAGTGTATCGGCTGCAAGTCTTGCAACACCAACAGTTACAGCTCCAAGCAGTAGTCTGTTCTATCATCAAACACCACAATCATCACGTCTATACACTACATTGGATGGGTATTCGCCGACCTGTTCCGCATTCAGTAGCGTCGGATCAGGTCATAGTAGTGCATTTACTAGTCCAGATTTTCGATTTTCACCGTATAGCTTTGGTAGACGGTAGTGTTTTGCTTTGTGTGCTGCGTTTGTATTAAAGAACAAATTGAATTTGTAAATATACCATTTTGTTGTTATCTCGATTCGATTGTTTGTTTTGGCCATCTGACTTTGACGCGCGCGCTACTTTGTTACCATCAAACACGACTTTGTTCGTGTATTTGGTATAAATTCATAACCAATTTTTTTGCTCAATCTCTGTTATGACATTGAATTCAATTCCATGATGTAGCGGTAAATGAGAGCAATTTTACTAATTCCATTTTCTGGAAAAATCGCCTTTTTTCACACAACAAATTGCTCTCTTTACCGCTACTTCAAAAACCATAGGCTCAAACGATTTTATCGTTACTTGTTTTATCAATCAAGTTGAATTTGCTCGTTAATTGTATTTATTCTTTTGTATTTAGTTAAAATTTAGCTTAATTCGTTACGAATAGTTCATACACATCGCCTAGAATTTAGGTTATAGGCTCGGCTATAGTAAATTATCATCATGTTAGAATTAGAGAAACATAAAACACTTAGATTTAGATGTCATTCAAACTGTTAAAGGTGTTAGGTAACACTTTCAAAGGATTAATCGAAACGGATCAAAATAAAGGGAAACTTATTTTATACAGAAAATCTTTAGTCTTCTTGCTTTCTTCTATCGCTATCGCTTTATCAAAATTTCGACATTCGAATGCCACCCAATTGGGCTTCCTGAAACATTTTATTGAGGTTTATTGTCACTTCCAATCTTTTTGGGGTTTTTTATTTTGCTTTTTTTAAATATTTATTTGCTGCTTTTTAGATTATTTTATTTTGAGTTGCTTCTTGTAGAATTTGAATTTTTTGCTTGTTTTTTTTTGTTTATAATTTGCATTGTAGTAACATTAATCAAGCTTTTTTGAGCGCTCTTTCGGTTTGTTTCTTTTAAGTTGCTTTATTTTATTTTCTTTTTCTTTTCGCACAATCAATCAATTCATTTCATTTAATACATTTTCACATATTAACCCATTTTTTCCTTTTTTCGTTTCAGTTCCTTTTATTTTATTTTCGCTTTTTTTGGAAATGAACATTGATCGCCATTTTGTGCTGACTCAATTGAAGTGAATCGGATCAAATAATGATCGATGTTTATTTCCGTAATATCCGCCAATTAACCCCAAATGCACATTTTTTTTATTTTTTTTTACTAATTTTCATTTTTCACTTTAGTTTAACTCTATTCACACCAAGAAAAAAGTTTAAACAATAACTTTTTGGCATTATTTTTGTATAAATACGGTGACTATGTGGTATTTTGATGCCTTAAAATAAGTCGAATCATCGTGGCGGTTTCTTAGAATCGATGTGATCGATTTTCGTCAATTTAAATCCATTTATCTTGATTCAAACCAGTCTGGTGACAATTGCTTGCCCACACTGTCGAAATGATTGTAAGGTAAGGGCTATTCAATGCAAATCGTTTGCATTGTTTCTTCTATCCGATAACAAAAAAAGAACAACACACTTTGCACACAGTACGGATGCGATTCCGCGTATATCATTGTAATGTAATTCCTCCGACGAATTTTCTCACATAAATGCCAAAAAAAGTCTAACGGTGTGCTTTTTTCTCTCTTCATTCACTTCAATGTGAAAATTGACACCGTCGTTGCATCCGAATAGTGCACAGTCATTTCATGATTCAAATGAATTGAACATAAATTGGTCGACATGCAAGAGAGAAAAATAGTAAGACGAAGAAAATTTACCGACGAACAAACACTCAAATAACATGAAATTATCCAATTAGACATTGATAAAGTACCATTTTGACGTGACAAGCTTTGGTGTCTGTGAATCGAGTGGATTAATACAAGACGAAGCAACAACAATAAGACGGACGAAACCATCGATTTGCTTGTTCATTTGTTGCACATACTATGTTCTTCTCCGAATACACATATATTTTCACACTTCAAACAGCGCATATTTCTTATTGCTCTTTCTCTCTCTCTCTCTATTGCACACACGGCCCGGCTAAATTGTCTTGAACACAGATGAAAGATATTAATGATCATTTAGACACTTATACATCTTCTTCTCTCTTCGTTTTCCATTCGCCTGTCCATTATTACACTGACTACGGCGATTTTTCAATAAATAAATAAATGTTCGAATTGATTTTCAAATGAGAATGCTTATTCATTATATTCGTTTGGCCGATTCGACATTCAGTGGCTTCAATGAACGTGTGTGCTTTGAATTCAAACGCGTTTGCGCTTACACCTTAATGAATGTTCCATGAAAATGAATGTGTCGGTTGATTTGATTAAATTTGCCACATTATTGTCAATAGGTAAAAATTTATTTTATGCTTTCAAAGAATTTACGATATATTACACCACGAACGAATCATTTTGCATTGAAATATCGACATATAGTAAAATCTTGAGTAAAATGCTTTGAACAAAAATAAAGTTTTCTTCTTGTTTCGAACGGAAACAATTTACATTTTTCTCATATAACAGAGAGCAAAGAAAAAAGTGGAAAGCATCGATGAACTTTGCCAAAATTGCACTATTTCACTTAAAGTAGATTCACGAAATGTATCAGATCACGTACTTTCTTGATTTTGTGTATGCACTCAACTCGACTTTTTTTTAGTAAATAAACGATATAAATTATAATGTAGTTGTTGTTGGTGTTGGCGCTCTCCGAATAATTTTCGTGCATTTGATTCAAATGATTAATTAGCGTGATGAACATTGAGTGATCGATTTACCGAGAAGTTGGCCGGGAGTCGTGGCACATACACTCGTCGTCGTCTTTCGATTCCAAATTCGATTTATATTATTCAATTAGATAAAATCGATGGCCAATAAACAAAGAAAATCCAACTAGAAAAAAGGTGCATTGTTTTTGTAAAAAGCGCAAGCTGCCATAGAGCACACCATAACATAGTTGCGGTTCATCGATTGTTGTAATTATTTGTGATTTTCTCTTGAAGCTGTTGTTTATCATAACAACAAGCGTAATGCATCGCAACGATCGTCGCATTTAATTCGTCCACGATATATAATTGCAACAGTGTAAATAAGTGAAGAAATGTTGTTCACAACCGCCGCGGCAATGATGATGACGAGACAAAGATTGTAATAGAATCGAGAGAAGAAAAAAAAAACCGAGCAACAAAAATAGATACACACGAAACATAATCGATGCGAAAGTAACGAAAAAAAAGAGGCACAACAATATGCAGTCGAAAACTGTAATGGCTGTAGGGGAGATACGGCAAAATGCCCATAAAAATGCTAAACAACACCACAGAGGCGAATCGAAATTAAAAGGCGAGGAGCAAAGAGAGAAAGAGAAAAGGTCGTGACAATTGAGTTTGCATGAAGTCACAGTCAATATTTTACCGTTCTTCGATTCTTTTCTTTTATACTGTATAGTAAGCACTGCATGCGCCCGCGCGATTTCGTCAGAGAGATGAGAGAACGTGCGCGGCCGTTTTGCGGGCTTCTTTTTGACTGTCATCGTGCACGTTAAATGCTTTTCGATTTGAGTTCTCTTAAGTTGCAAATCTATGGAATATGCTCATGTTTTTCCCTCACACAGTATCGATCGCGTCGAATCCAAATTTGGATTTGTTGGCTGTGGCAATCTGAAACGACATTTTAATGAGATTCATTGACCGTTGCGCCCGACAACGAAAAATAGAATTACCGTAAACGAGTTTATTAGAGAATTGCCGATATGCCATGATGCATTTATGAAAATCGCTTTAATTTTTGACCCAGAAAGTTTCGCTCAAATTCACATCTCATTCATGTATATGGTGTATATTGATCGGTTCGGTTGCGCGAATGGAAAATTGCTGTTCGCATCAGGGCGAAGGAAACGTTTGATTCTCATCGATTGTGGCTGATATGGTTTTCGGTCAAAGTCAAAAGGTTCAGGCGCAACTATAACCGTTTCGGAAACGTGTGGCTTGTTGTGTTGATGGTTTGCAATGGAATTGCGCGCAAAAAGCGTATCTCACGATTTGGACACAGCAAACAACCGATCGACACACGATGCGACAATTTTCAAACCATTTGACACACAATGCAACAGAACCAAGAAAAAAATAAAAAAAAATCAACGCTTCATTCAATTTGAATGACTGGCCCTGGCTGGTGAATAGAACAAGCCCATTTTGATGGCTGCAACGAAATTAATGCCAAATGCACTTCATAGAGTTCAGCTTGGACAACATCAACATTTCCTTTTATCCATTTTCCAAACTAATCGCATCAAATGACCATTCCATTTATGAACAATGGCCAGAAATAAAGAGGAGGATAAGTAAGAAAAAAAACAAGATTTCTTTATCGTCTCTATTAGCCAGTACATTACATTCGATTGGAATGTGTAAATACGTGGATTCTATCGCGTTGCTCGGTTCGTTGTACACATTTTTTTTCAGTTTATCCCCATCTATTCGAATGTGTTGTGGTTTTTCTGTTGCCACTCATTTCTCAGTGTCGTCCAATGAATGCTACGTTGAAATGCCTTTGACCATTGAAAATGAGCATCTTGGGCAATTTTTTTTATTTCTTCTTCCTTATTTTACATTCGTTCAAGTAATCTATTACGAGAGACTCACTAATCGAATTAAGACCATATAAAACGACAACAAATTTTTCTTTTGTCATCGCACAGCGAATGGTTCCATTTTTATTACTTCAAAAACGATGTAACAATTAATAATTCGATAAAATGGTATGCCGCATTTTGGTTGTGTGTGTGTGTGTGTGGCATTGCACGATTATTTTCTTCTATTTGTCACCGTCGCATTGCTTATGTGCTGCTTTGAAATTGATTTCATTTAAGCAGCACGTGATATCAGGTGGCAAATGACAAACACTAATTTATACTTAAGTATCAAAATTAAAGTGTTAAACGATGTGCTTTTTGACCACACACCGATGTTGATATGCATTGAAAAGTGCATTATTCCATTTGAAATGCGATATATAATCGATGCATTTCTTCCTCGTTTTATCGTTTTTCTACACCATTTTCACAACCAGCTTATTAGACAAATCGAGACAAATGCCACAAAGACAAATCCAACGAGGAAATGAAGAACCCGTTTTTATCATACTTTTTGAAAATGACACAATATTTTTCATATGCCATAGAGTACCGTTTCAATTTGGCCTGAAGGCAGTCGTGCCATGTTCAAGAAAATCAATAAAAATTAATTTGATACCGTATCTGATTCCATCCGTTTTGAATTTTATCTCTTTACTGCTGGCATCGCGACTCGATAGCGTTCATATTTAATCATTGAATTGGTTTTTGAGTTGGCTGTTTTACGCGTATCGTTTTCTAATCGATTCGGTTTGTCACTAATGGAATTGCAATCGTGAACTCATCCCGAACTCGGAATGCACTTATGCTTCTTCATCACATTTATTTTTAAAAACATTATAATTCACATAAATATGCAATTGCAATTATACAATGCATAGAATCGGTCGCGTCCAATTGCCAATTAATTAGACGATTTAAATTTTCAAAGAATTTTTATGTAGAAATTCAAATGCAGAGAAAATGCGACGAAACTAAAATTAGTACCGAAGTTGTCATTAGTGTCGGAACATAAAATCGTGCGCCAATCGTATTCACAATTCTCGGGAGAGTTCACATCGTCGAATCAAGTTCATTGCCATTCGCACAAAATGCAAAGTGTTGAATGATGTTTTTCCACATGCGTAAAAAAGCAACAACAAAATTCAAACTATTTTACGTTGTGCGTTTTTTTTCTCTCTGCCAATTGC